TCTTTATTCATTCCTTTAAAAAAATCAACAAAGTAATTTTATATACAATAAAAATACAAGAAATTCACTCTATCTAGGAGGCACAATTTATATGGATAGTATTTATTTTTTACAAAAACAAGCTGGAATGAAAACAAGTGAAAATAAAAGTAACGACTTTCTACTTCTTGCCTTTTTTTAAATGGAAGGAGTATAAAGTACAGATAATTGTGTGAAAATGTAAGGAGTAGAAGTAAAAAGTAGGCTGAAAAATAATTACTCAAGTAACGTACAGATACCCAAAAACTCTACTTAAGTACAGTAAAGAAGTATTTGTAGTTAGTTATTTTACCACTCTGGTTAAACTGCATCTTAGCTTTGGAAAAGTGACAAAAAATACTCCTCCCAGTATTCAGTATTTGACATTAATGATGACATTAAAAACACACGTATGCTATGGACTGGACACAGGGAAAACCCATGAATAGCTGTTGAAAGTGTAATTCACCAGTAAAAACATGGGAGGAGAGCAGAATATAAAGGGAACACTGATGAGCTAAATTGCAACGACCTGAGGGGGGAGAGAGAACTAGTCATAGGTGAAAGTGGGCGGGGCAGGAGCAGAACTACACAGGGAGAAAACACTGGGGAGAACTGATAACCAGAGCTGGGGAACAGGCAGACTAATCAGGAGAACACCACAAGTAACTGAACTGAAACACAAAAATACCAAAAGATACACAGTAAAACACAATGATCTAAAAAAGGAACTGAGAGTGGACCACAGATCACCACACCAATCACAGTATCACATCATTCAGAATGACACCAAGCCTAGCTTCTTGACGTTGACAATTCCAAACCACACAGGTGCAAAAAGGCCTCATGTCATGAATGTGCTGTCACTGCTGTCACCATGTTCCCTCACATTCCACCATCACAAGCATAAACCACCATGTCACTGTGGCACTTTTGTGCTTAAAACCATCAAAGAAAGGTTATAGTAAATATTAATTAGGGATTGAGTGCTGCAAAGCTTCAGAAGTCCATGTAGTTTTTGACCTGTTTTTTTTTTCTCAATGCGAGGCAATTTTCATTATGTTATGGTGGGCCAAGCATCACAAAACCTAGCAGTTACTTAGAACTAATGTAAATATGAGAAGGTGCAACACCTCAGATATGAGCGTGGCAAAAAGCTTCAATTTGCCTCTGATATTGTCAGAGCCAGTGCAGACTTTAGAGGGCACGACCAGGTGCTGAATCACCCTCACAGTGAAAGAGGATGGGGAGAGACGGGTGGGCAAGTCAGGTCGGCTTGTCCAATGCATTACCACTCCCAGCTCATCACAGATTGGCACTTGGTCACGTTCCCTCTGCGTGCGGTTTTGACATGTCAGATATCCCCCCCTCGCAATCAGTTATTGACGAGATGAGAACGAGGAGGAGGAGCCTGTTGTCATATGTTTGAAAAGTGTAGAAAATGTGACAACTAACTGTAATCTTAACCCCCTAATCGTGACCCCTAAACTTAAAGGGGCAATATCATGTAAAATCAACTTTTAAGAGTTTTATATTATGTTATAATGTTACACTCTCATAAAAACATGCCCAAAGCCTTACTTTGACTCATTCATGCATGTTTGAGAAATCCTGCAGCGTTTTTAGGAAGCCATGCTGAGGAGCAAAACGACAGGTGGGGACCAGAAACACTCCTGGGACGTGTCTTTAAGCCAAACTTCCTCATGGCGGAGCACCCCCCACCCCACTCCCCACACACCCGCCCATGACTACTGCAGGCTCTCGGGTGAAACTGAAAGTGAAACTTAAACTGTCTGCTGAGCTCTCAACATTAGTTCTCACTCAGTGAAGCTCTTTTCAGATTAAAAATACCTTTGAGGAAATGTATTTTCAGATGCCAAGTAAACTGCATCATGGCAGCCCCCCCCACAGTAGAGTGCTGTACAGATTGTAGTGTGAAGCGCTTTGAGTATCCTGGTTGGGTAGAAAGGTGCTATACAAGTACAGTTTATTTACCATTTACATGAGTAGGGTACCTGATGCATCCAAACCGGATACAGAGGGAACATGACCAAGCATCAATATGTGACAAGTAGGGAGTGAGAATGTGTTGGCTTGTCTGCATAGTTCAGATCGCCCTGGTGCGCGAAGGCCCTTCATCACTGCTCGCAGTTTAAATTTATCAGTGAACTGTTTAATAATTCATACATTCATTTTGCTCTTGTTAGGACACTACCTCTTTTAAAGGGGAAAATATGAATTTTAAGATTTACTATACTAAAAAAATGTTAGTTTTGATTGTTTGAATTAATCACAAAACACATTCAAGACACGGCATGCTGAGAAATCTCATCTAGGTTATATTTATATACAGGACTGAAAATTGCAATTAGGGGTGTCCCGATACCAGTTTTTTCAAGACTGAGTACAAGTACGAGTTCTTCAGTTTAGGTACTCACCGATACCGATACCAAGTAGCGGGGTTCATGTGGATTATCTGTTCAACTTGTTGAATATTAAACAGAATGAAWATGAAATGCAATTATCATGCAAAAATTGATGGGTAAATATTATGTTTGACAATAAAAAGGTAGTGCAAACTCTGACAAGTAGATAAGTTGGTACAGTATATACAGTATATCACACCATAACTTTTGAAACCATTTATTTTATTTCAAACAGGCTCTTTTTTATAAGGCCACACTCCCTCTGAATGTATTAACAAAACAAATACTGCGAAACAAATGCTGCTGCATACATTAAAAAACAAAATAAGTTATTTTTATACATTTTCCTCAACATGCAACTACCAAATTTAAATTAAAATGTAAAATGTAAATTTTAGCATCACATCTATAGAAGTTTACTCTGCTTCAGTCTTAAACTGTTAAAAAATGACTAATAGTAATAAAGTGCAGTAAATTTCAGTTCAAACTTAAATGGAACAACTAAAACAAAATCTCAGAAGAACCAGAGGGAAAAATTAAATGCCTTTACAACAAATTTTCTTCCATATTCTGCTTATGTCTTAGTTTGTTCTACAAGAAAGAAAAAACAGCATTGAAGTTACTGCAACAACTGCAGCATAGTGCTGTTTATGAAGGCTACTGCTAGCAGCAGCAAACTCTTTGAATTCTTTGTCATGTCTTGTCCTCAAATGTTGAATCAAATTGCTGCTGTTAAAACATCCAACTTTCACTCCTCCCCTCGACAGTTTAGCAGAGCACAGCAGACAGTCTGCGTGTTAGGTGTCCTCCGTGCCGATCTTAAAATATCTCCAAACTGCTGACGTTACTTCTTCTTCTACCATCATCTTTCTTCTTCTGTTATTCGGGGGTGCGGTCGGAAATAACTTGTCAGTGCATTAGCGCCACCGCCTAGTATGGATTGTTGTTTACCCTTTGTGCTGCAGCGCAGCACAGGAGGAGACGAAAGTGGTATCGGTTTAGAGTATCGGCCGGCTTTTGCGAGTACGAGTATGAGTACTTGATGCTGGTATCGGACGGTATCGGGACACCCCTAATTGCAATACCTCTTGCAAATTCAGGAGAATGACTAATTTACTGATGTAATTTATTTCTAAATATGACTAAAATGATAATAAACTGGTGTTCAAAAGGAAATCTGGATAGAAATACGTATTTAATGTAATTTGATGCACACAAGTGAGTTGTAATGAATTTGGTGAGGGAGGAGGTGTATAGAGAAACACATGAACACAGCACAGAACCGGAGTTCCAGTCAAACACACTCAGGTACCAGCAATCAATCCACCATGGCAGGTGTAGGGTTGTCTTACTGGGAAATGAATTTTCTATCCCGAGATGGATACCAGCGAGAAAGGATCGCCCCGAGGTTTGAGGTTCGGTGCTTCTGGAGTGGAGGGTCTCCTGAAACCTCAGTTGGTTTGCTGCAGGGAAGATTACACCTTCTGCTTGGAGATGAAGTGGTCTCTGCTCTGCGTGGTTTGGCAGTGAGCTGCTGGTTGCTTCTGGTGACAAGGATGTTTTTGTGTTTTTAGAAACCTTTAATTTGTCTCAGCACTTTTCAGAGTATTAAAACTTCAGTGAGCAAGTAACTCATTTACTTTATCCTATTAACTCACGTTTATTCCCTTTCACTTAATCCTAAAGGTTCAACACTTTGAGCAAACTGTATGTAAAGTTCAGGGTTTATAAAGTCGGCTGTTGGTTTTTGTTACAAATGTAATGTTCACCTGATCAGCCGTGCCAGTCAAACATTAGCTAGATAGTTGAAATACTTTTTTTTTTTACCATATGAACTACAGGATTTCTTCATCATTATTTCTGCTATAAAATTAAACATTAGGTCAGTATAAAACTCAAGGTTTGCAATCAAGTGTGGTTTAGTTTTTTAGCCTTTAGGAGTGGCAAACACTCACTCTTTATATAACCAGACAGGTCCCCCTTTCCTGAGACTTAGTTCCACACAGTTTCCTTTCTGTCAGGTCTGTCAGCCTTATCGCTTTAATGTACATATTAGATTCTTCCAAACTGCTCAATTATGGAGCTTCTCAGTATTGTTGAGCATCTGTTTGATCCAGTGGGACCCATCTGTGCATTTATCCCTCCCGCTGCAAAAAATAAATAAATAAATAAAAAACTGGAGTGCCATGAAAATTTGATGGCAGCCTCTGCTGTTGCTTCTGGCACTGGAAGGGTGCAAAAAAAAAGAAAAGAAAAATAGGTCCTAAGTTGTGGTGTTGTCGCTGTATGTATGAAATATACATGAGCTCCACTTTAAGCTTCTTGTTGGAGTCTGTTTAATGTTGCTGCCTGGATGACTGAAAGAAATGGCTTTTGTTAATGAAGTCAGAAGAGGATTAAGGATAAACAAGTTGTCGGGGTCAGCAAGAAAGCTAATTAGGAGAGTTTTATTGATGTAATAACCTTCCAGTAAAATTTTTTTGTTTGTTGTTGTGGCAGCAGAGCTGTGTAATTAATTTTTCTCCTCGTGTTTCTTTTTTTTCTCTTGTTTCTCAGAAACCTGCTGGATAGAGACACGTTCTCCAAGTCCGATCCAAGTAAGCTCAACTCTTATCTTTCTCACACACGAACACACACACACACACACACACGCACGCACGCACGCACGCACGCACGCACGCACGCACGCACGCACGCACGCACGCACGCACGCACACACACACGCACACACTGCATTGCCCATGTGAATCAGTAGACATTTGCATATGTCAGGGGTCATATTTGTCACTGTTCCCTACTCCCAGTGCGAGTGAGGGAAACCAGATCATCTTCACACACAAATTAGCCACACACACACACACACACACACACACTCACACAAACATGTACACGCATACAAACAAACACATACACTACATACATAAATACATTCACTTTGATGACAGCAGGGGTTCAGTTTAAAAGATGGTCCAGAGGTTTTTAAGGGTCCAGTTTGCATCCCAGCGGTACGTTTCCTCCGTCCATCAATAAACGATTGGCTTGAAGCTCTCGTTTAAACATGCAAACTAAGATTTCACTTAAGAGAAGGTCTTTGTGTGTCACGAACTTATAAACATCTGATCATTTGTGAGTTTAAAGCCTACCACATATAAGGCTTTAAAACAGGGGTGTCAAACTCCTGTCCTCGAGGGCCGCTATCCTGCATGTTTTAGAGGTTTTCTTGCTCCAACACACCTGATTTTGATCGCTGGGTGATTAACAGGCTTCTGCCCAATTTGAAGAGTTAATTCAATCACTGAATCAGGTGTGTTGGAGCTGGAAAACCTCTAAAACATGCAGGATAGCGGCCCTCGAGGACTGGAGTTTGACACCCCTGCTTTAAAATGTTTACCATGTCATAAAAGGTTGAATTGTTGTCAACAACTGGTTAAATCAAAGTGATGTATAACAATTATGTAACCTACACTATGTTCAAATAGCACCAAGAACAAATGTGTTTTAAAAATAGATTTAAAAATATGAGAAACGAAGCCTGTCTAATGTTTAAAAGCAGCTTTGTTCCAGAGTTTGAGAACCACGACTGAAAAAGCCCGACTTCCTCTGAGCTTCCGTCTGGTTTCAGGATGACCAAAAATTGTAACATGACAGGGTCCACAAAGGAGCATAAAGTTGAAACAATTCAGAAAAAAGGACCGAGTCCATTTAGACAGTAATGAGCCAAAAAGGAGAGTTTTAAAATCCAATCTATGGTGCACTGCACAGTGAGCCGATGGAGTGATGAGAGGACTGGTGAAATGTGCTTAGATCTACAGTTAAAAAGGACAAATCATGCAAAATCCACTTTTTAGCCTTTAAATAAATTTTTGTGTTCTTGGAGTCTCTAGGAGAGCAGAAAAGTTTAGTTTAGTCTCTCCTGGTGCTGCAAAGATATCCTAATATTCTGTTTGAGTCATATTTTCCAGCTCATTTTTTTTTTATCTCCTCTGTTTTCTGGACAATAACGTCACAATATTTGCTAAACAGAGTCAGTGGCTTCCAGCTTACCAATTTCGTGATTTTGCGGTTCTGCTGGTTCGTCGTCTTCATTCTCCTCTGGCTCTGGGTCAGACTGCACTGAAAAAACAAACTTTTGGGTGCAGTAACATTTATTTAAATATTCTTTTAAATTTTACAAAAAAATATCAAAATCTCTAAACTACTAGAATTTACTAAATAAGCAATACACATTATATTATATATCAATATTAATGTACAAAAAAGTAAATGCTAATATTATTTTACCAGTAATATTTAAGTACTTTTTCTGGACGGCACATAAACAAGAATATATTAAGTAACTTCTACTGTTCTGGGCTAAAACTGAGGGTGCATGCACACACAAAGGCTGCTGCTCCTCATTCCCTTGCTTCACTTTTCAAGGGGAGGACAAGACATGGTCGAAATAAAACAAGTTGTCTGGTTTCTTTTGCTTGAATACATTTGTTGATGTACAATAGTTTTATGGCATAAAGTAGGTGATATTTAGTTGTCAGGGAACAGGGAATGCATTTTGTAGCATTCTGCTGTGTTTGGCTCTTTGTCATGTGACTGCAGTGGAGGATTGTGGGTAGGATTCATGTTTGTTGTTGTTAAATCATTTTAGGGAATTGGTTAACATTGTTCTTTCAGCAGTTAGTCTGTTGTGTTACTCTAATTTGTGTGTTCATTATTTGTTAACTTGTGTTAAACCGTTCCGCAGAAGTAACCATAAGTGAGAGTGGTAGGCCTAGTCATTAATAACACCTGTGAGTTTCTCTTTGTCTGTGTTGTTCATGAAGAAGAATCCAATAAAAGTTCTTCAAAACTGCCACCTGGTGGTGAAGTCTTGAACTACAACATGAGCTACACCTCTCTCTGTAGCTGTGAGGTGTCATGATACAATATTGTCCTTGATGCATGTGCACTGTTATAAAGAACTTGTAAGATTTACTTGAAAAAAGTCCTCGTAACAATTTCCACTAATATTTGTTAAAGAAATTTAAATGCTACAAATTCATGTAATATTTACTCATCGTTATCTAGTAAAAGTTATTAATAGTTAAAGATTTGTGAATAAATCAGGTAAATTTTACTTCATTTGATCAAGTATATGTTACAATATGTTATAAGATTTAATTGAGCAAATTAAGTAAAATTTACCTGATTTATTCACAAATCTTAAACTATATTCTTAATAACTTTTACTAGATAATGATGAGTAAATATTACATGAATTTGTAGCATTTAAATTTACTTAA